CTGTGCTCAATCCACTGAGCTACACCAGCCAGGACTACAGAGAGTCCTTTTCTAATTAACCTATGTGAAAGAGCAAACCCTCTCACTCACCCCAATTATGCTCTAACATCTGCTTTCCTTTCTTTAGACCACTAATCACTATTTCAAACTATTCAATGTCTAGCTCATTGTCTGGATCCCCACTAAAAGGTAAGTGTCAAGAAGACAGAATCTTTCTCTGCCTTATTTGCCAATGTAGCCAAGTGTCTTGCATAGTTTTCTGGCACAGATTAGGTTTAATAAGTAATAAATAAATGAAGAATGATGTGAGAAGTATTGAGGTAAATCCAACTTCCCCCATTAAACATATGTGGCAATAAAAGAAATTAATTTAAAATATTTATGCAGTAGGTAGATATACTTTGCCTCCTCACAGAACCAGAAGATGGACAATGACAAATTCAAAAACAAAAATAACCAGAATTTCCAGAACATCAAACTGTAGGGAAGTCTGACAACCAGGGAGTTAAAGAAGAAACATTGATCCAGACTGGTCAGAGGGGTGGAGACAGGCAGCCGGGGTGGAGAGGACTTGCAACAAGGTGGCAGATGGTAGACCATGTGGTCCCACATTTGAATAGGGATAAACTGGGAGGAACAACTGGGGGGCAAGACAGACAATGCAACTCAAGGTTCCAGTGTGGGGAAATAAATCCTCGAAATCTCTGACTGAAAAAAACCTGTGGGGGTTGAGGCAGCAGGAGAAAGTCCCAGCCTCACAAGGAGAGTTCTTTGGAGAGATCCACAGGGCCCCAGAACTTACACAAGCCTACCCACCCAGGAATCAGCACTAGAAGGGCCCAATTTGCTTGTGGGTAGTGGTAGAAGTGATTGAAAGCTGAATAAGTGGCATTGTTCCCTCTCATAAGCCTTCCCCCCGCATGCATCTCCATAATGCAGTGAAGTAAGTGGCCCCGCCCTGGCAAATACCTAAGGCTCAGAATGTATCAGGCATGCTGAGACAAAAAAAATATGGTCCAAATGAAAGAACAGATCAAAGCTCCAAAAATATAATTAAGTGATGAAGAGATAGCCAACCTATCAAATGCAGAGTTTGAAACACTGGTAATCAGGATGCTCACAGAAATAGTTGAGTATCGTCTCAAGATAGAGGAAGAAGTGAAGGCTATGTGTGTTGTGACCCTTCAAAGCCAGGCAGGTTCACATAATTAGGGCAGATGGAAGAATATTCATGGAGCTGTTGGAATGTCTGACATGACTTTATTCAAGGGTGGGTGAGCCACCCATGCAGAAAGTTGCATGTATCCCTGCATGTCTCTGCGTGGCACACTGCATGTCATCTGTCCCCTTGAGTGGCACATGTCATGGCACCCAGTGGGGAGTCCCTACTTTCTTAAGTACTAGAGACAAACAAAGCTGGAAGAGTGCTAACAGGTCTTATGCAACAGAGCTTCATAGTACACATGGGAGCCCATTCAAGGATATGGGAACAGTTTATCGGACCCTGTGTCAAGGCTATGAGAACACTACTTATCAATCCCATTCAAGGTTATGGGAAAACTGTTTCCCTTAGTTACCAAGACACCTGGGTAAGGTAGCCAGACTGCCTCCATTTAACCTACACTATGAAAAAAGAAAATGTACAGGTAACCAACAGTGATGGGAAGGAAACTGGGGCTCAAATCGTTGATTTGGAACAGAAGGAAGAAAGAGACATTCAACCAGAACAGAATGAAGAAACAATAATTCAAAAAAATGAGGACAGGCTTAGGAACCAATGGGGCAACTTTAAAGGTACCAACATCTGAATCATAGGGGTGCAAGAAGGAGAAGAGGAAGAGCAAGACATTGAAAACTTATTTGAATAAATAATGAGGGGAAACTTCCCCAATCTGGCAAAGGAAATAGACTTTCAGGAAATCCAAGAAGCTCAGAGTCTCCCAAAGAATTTGGACCCAAGGAACCACACACCAAAGCACATCATAATCACATTGCCCAATGTGTTGTGACTGTTCAAGATTGGGCAGGTCCATGGTATTCACACAGACAGAATAATATTCACAGAGCCATTGGGATGTCTGGCATGCCTTTATTCATGGGCGGGTGAGCCATGCATGTTGCAAGCTGCATGTCTCCTTGCCTGTCACATGCTGTGGCCCTTGCTCCCCAGCATGGCACCCATCATGGCACCTATCCCCTTGCAAGTGTCTCCATTGCACCTAGCAGAGGGGCTCTACCTGTTTAAGTACTAGAGGGGAAAAAAGCCGGCAAGATGCCAGTACACTACATAGCATAACATAATTCTGCGCATGTGAGCCCACTTGATGTTATAAGAACAAGTTTATCGGACAGTTTATCAGTCTAAAGGCTATGAGAACACTACTTATTAGGTCCTCCAAGGCTATGAGAACACAGCTTCCCTTAGTTACCCAGACACCTGAGTGAGGAAGCCAGAGTGCCTCCACTTAATCTGCACCGAAGATTAAAGATAAGGAAAGAATCTTAAAAGCAGCAAGAGAAAAGGAGACAGTTACCCACAGAGGAGTGCCCATAAGACTATGAGCTGATTTCTCAAAAGAAACCTTACAGGCAAGAAGGGGCTGGCAAAACATATTTGAAGTCATGAAAGGCAAGGACCTACATTCAAGACTACTTGATCTAGTAAAGCTATCATTTAGAAAGGAAGGGCAGATAAAGTGCTTCTCAGATAAAGTCAAGTTAAAGGAGTTCATTATCACCAAGCCCTTATTATATGAAATGTTAAAGGGACTTACCTAAGAAAAAGATGATAATCAAAAACATGAACCATAAAATGACAACAAACTCAGAACTATCAACAACTGAAGCTAAAACAAAGATAAAGGAAACAACTAGAACAAGAATAGAATCACAGAAATGGAGATCACATTGAGGGTTACCAGTGGGGAGGGAATGGGAGGAGAATGAGGGAAAAGGTACAGGGAATAAGAAGCATAAGATAGAGAGGAGAGGTTAAGAATAGTATGGGAAATGGAGAAGCCAAAGTACTTATACGTAATACCCATGGACTTGAACTAAGGGTGGGGTGGGTGAGTTGTGCTGGAAGGAATGCTGATGGGAGGGACTGTGCAGGGTTGAGGGGGAAAAGGGGAGAAAAATGGGACAACTGTAATAGCATAACCAAAAAATATATTTAACAAAATAAAAAATAGGCTAAAAGTAAACAGTATTACATAAAAAGTAAGTTCCCAGTGTTACTTTAAATATAGCCAGTATTTTATTTTCCTGCATGAAACATTACACAAAATATTATAAAATCATGTGAATCGACACACTAAATGTATATTCTCTATTTGTATGAAGAAACAAAACCTATTTGAATAGTAAAAGAAGAAATAAGTCCTGTCATGGCTGTCAGAGTTGTTTAACACGTAGCAATGAGGCAAACTTATGACAGTGAAAACTGGCAGTGAATGGGCCTACAACGTTCACTGTGGTTTGAATTAAGGGAAAAGGCTACTTCCTTTTCCTCCCTTCCTTAAGGTTTAAGGCACATGGGTACTGACTGATAGCATTTAGCTTCAGGAGATTTACATGCTTAATTTTTTAAACATAAGGCTCTCTTAAAACATAAAATAGTTGTCTTAAGTTCAAGCCAAAGCAACAATAATTATAATGCTATGTTTTTACATAATGGTTGTTCAGGCTCACAACTTCTATTAATTTTTGTTTATTTTGTTATTATTTCTATTAAAATTAAAGTTAATCATATATGAAATTAGTTTTGGAAGAAAATCACTTTGGTGTATTATTTAAACTTTAGAGAATAAAATGCACGCAGATTCTTCCGATCATTGCCGATCTAAGAAGACATGGGAGGTGTAAAATGGGACATGGGATGTTTACTTTTACTTTAAAAAAAATCAGAGTTATAAGAAGTTTCTCAGAAACCATTGTAACAAATTACTTCATGATACAAATTTGCCATAAAAACTTTTTTGCTGAACAGCAGATGGGGCAGCCTCCTTTCACATCTGTATTTCCCAAATGTAGAATTCAATAGAGTGGGATTGATAGAGGAAAACCTAATACTTTTTTTTTTTTTGCATGATGTTAGTAATTTCATTCTAAAGTAATCAAATTAACTTGTTGTAATAGGAACTGATGCAAATGGATTCCATTCACAAGGTGATCTAAGTATATGAAACTCTATCTCTATTTAAATTGGTTCCCTTAGAAAATTTTCTGTAAGAGCAATTCAACAGAAATGCTCTCAGGGGCTATCCACAGATCTAATGGCATTACAAATGGGCAAACAAATAAATGACATAGACAATAATAATCAAGGGTAAATGCCCTGGCTTTACCCCAAATCATTTAACAGTATCAGACTTGGCTGTGTTCATTATCATTGTTCTTCATTTAGAATAGTGACATTGTAACTCATGAATGTCAAAGAAGGCCCATATGAGTTTTGCTTCTGCACTAAGCTTAAATATTCAATGCTTAATTTTGATCTGGGAATGTTGCTATTGTGGTTTTGTTTTATTTCCACTGAAAAGATTAAAAAAAAAGAAGGTGAAAGAAAGACGGGGGTTGTAGGAAGGATTATCTTCATTATTTTGGCAAGCAAGTAAAATTTAGCCTAGAGCTAAGCAACTTTTTCTGATAATTCAACTGTCAAATTATCTGGAAGTGGAAGATTTACAAGAGCTAAAAGATGATTATGTGAGCGAAGATTTGAAAACCATTTGTTGTGTTTTTAACAGGTCTCTTTTCAGTTGCACAGCTATATAAAACAACTCACTCTGTTCACTCTTTTCTTTTTAAAGATTTCACTTATGTTTAGAGAGAGGGGGAAGGTGGGAGAAAGAGAGGGAGAAAAACATGGATGTGTGAGAGAGACATCAATCGGTTGCCTCTCCTGTGCACCCTAGTGGGGACCGAACCTGCAACCCAGGCATGTATCCTGACCCGGAATCCAATCCGCGCGATCTTGCACTTTGCAGAAGGACGCCCAATCAAGCCACACCAGTCAGGGCACACACACGCTGTTTCCTCTTGATGTACCAGTCTGAACCTGTTTCTGAGTCAATGAAGTCAATGTCAAAGGCAGAGGAAATTCTAGACCATAACTCATCAGCCTGAGTAGCTGCAGGACACTGTGGTCTCACAAATACTTTCGCCGTGGCCTGAGTACCTGAAGAGAACAATCACTATTACCTATGAGTTAGACTTTGGAGTCTTTCCTAAACGAAAGATCAATTCACTTGATCCATCAATTGAAGAGTCAAAACAAACCCACAGGACCATAAAGGTGCCTTAGAGAAATTTGTGTACTTTTATGCACTTGGGCTTCTTTGCAGTGAGTAGCTACCGAAGTGACATCATTAGATAGATTGTCAGCATAGACTTGTATTTGCGTAATATCATTTTCAAATATAATCTAAAAATGCAAATCATGTGAGAATGGTATCAAAAGGAAACCTGTCTTACACAGTTCTATCTTTCCAAAAGTTACAAATAGTAAAAGGCTATAGATAACATTTTTCAAGGTCACATTAGGAAGGCTGCAGTTTGAACCCAGGTAAACTGACTTCATAGTCCAAGTTCTGAAGGTCTCTGACACAGTATTGTTTACTCTTTCTAAATCATAAATTGTTCAGCATTCTAGTCAAGCAGAAATCTACAGCTATTACACTCTTTGCTTATAACCCGTTATTTTTTCTAAATCAGCAGCTGCCTGAGATAATACTACTAGCATTAAATTATTGGACATCATCACAATAGCATTGTTCTAGAAAACCCAATCATCAGTCCTTCACACTTACAGAGAAATACTCAATAAGATAATAAGACTAGCTTTAGCATTTTTATATTTTCCTGAGGAAAATTATGATAAGAAGTGAAAATTTTGATTTGTGGGGGAAGAATTGGAAAGGAGGATTTGTATACTTAGAAAATAACACAAGAATGAGTATCTAGAAATTATGTGGAGGAGGCTAAAAAAAGATATCTTAAAAATGTAAGAGGATCTGAAAGAAAAAAAATAAGATGTTACAGGAAAATAAAAACAAAATTACACTGCTTTTGTAATTTTACTTACAGTCCTGGTAGTAGCAACTGCCTCCAGACCACAGAAAAAATATTTCAGCAAACATCTTTTGTCGTTGTAACACAGGCTATTAATACTCGAGTTAAAGAAACTTTGTGAAGAAACTTTTGTGAAGAATTCTTTGTAACATGAATAATTACATTTGGTATTATTGAGGACTTAAAAATTTGTCTCATCTTTTTTCATGTTTATAAAATTATGACTAATTTCCTCTGGCTGCATCTATGTTTAAGCCAAGCATTTTAAAGTCTAGAATATGTCCATACGAGCTTTGTCCAAAAAAGGTCCAGCCATTGTTAATATAATGAGAATGGTTTGTGCTACGTGGATGCACCCTGGCAGCCAAGGAGAGTGAACTGGAATGCACATGTGTGAACAATGACCACTTCACTGTTCTAGACTTTGGGGGCAGTAGACACCATTTAGTGAACATGTGTACTGTGAGGCCATCTCATTCAAAATGACTGAGCCAGTCGATCGATGAATATGTTTCAAATTTTGTGTTAAGCTTGAACATTTCTCCATGGTGGGTGTGTCCAATCTGTGGCCCATGGACTGCATGCAGCCCAAGACAAAATCATGAATTTACTTAAAACCTTTTTTTTGCCCATCAGCTTCTGCTGGTGTTTTTGTATATAATGTGTGGCCCAAGACAACTCTTCTTCTTCCAGTGTGGGCCAGAGACACCAAAAGGTTGGTCACCCCTGCTCCATGGGAACTATTGGGATGATTCAAAAGACCACAGCTATGGGCAACTGGAGACTGGCAGCTTCATGATGACAACGGACCTACTCATGTGTCGGGTCTCATGCAGAGCTTTTTGGCAAAACATCGAATCACCTACGTAATTCAGCCCCTCTACAGTCCAGATTTGGTGCCCTGATACCTCTGGCTTTCCCTCAAACTAAAATCACCTCTGAAAGGTAAGAAATTTCAGACCATTGAGATTCAGAAAAATATTACAGGGCAGCAGATGGCAATTGGGAGAACTGTGTGAGGTCCCAAGATGCCTACTTGGAGGGGGACTGAGGTGTCATTGTCCTGTGTAGAATGTTTCTTATCTTTTTCATAGTACACAGCTTGATACTTTCTGGACAGACCTCATATATCTTTACAAAACAGGTATATACCTGATAAAATTGAATTTTAGTAATTTAATCAGATTTTGAAAATAACTTTTGTTCAATATGTAACAACACATTTTATCACTGAGAAAATTCACACCATAGAGAGAAGCAAAAAACACTTAAAAATTGGCCATAATCTCATCATGCATAGTTAACAACTTTACATTTTTTGGTATACTTTTTCTTTTTCTATGCATTTAGAAAATTTGGGATCATATGTTTTATGATCTATTATATTTCCCCCTTTAATTCATTACATTGCTATGTTGTTAAATACTTTATATCATAATTTTATGGCTATAAACACTTTATTGTATAAATATACTGTAATATATTAAAACCATGTTATTGGAAATCTTTAAACATAAATCTTTGTGTATATATCTCATTACTTCTTCATATTAAAAGGTTAAGAAGTAGAATTTCTAGGAATGTATTACTAGAAAATATTTAGAGCGAGGTGGAGAGAGACAAAAGGAAGGAAAATATAGGAAAGATCATAAAAGAAATAACAGATAAGATAAAAATGCATAATATATAATACTAACTGCAGTCCCAGAGAAAATGGCACAGATGCAATATTTGAACTGCATAACAAAGTTTACCAAAATTCTCAGATGATACTTATTAAAATAAAATTTATTTATTAAAATAAAACCAAAAATCATAACTATGCATGTTATTGTAAAACTAAAAACCAAAAAGAAAAACTTAGGGCCAGCCAGAGGAAAAAAGATACATTTCCTTCAAAGGGGCAACCATAAGACAGAGTAATGCCTAAACCCTTAAGGATACAGAAAAACTGAGAGTAAAAAGATGTGAAAATATGTACTATGCCAACACCAACCTAAGGAAAGCTGAAGTCATTACATTGGTGCTCTATAACTAATAACATAGCTTCAAAATATAGAACGCAAAAATATTGTAAATTCAGAACCACAGAGGAATATTTTTAATATACATCTCTCAGTAACTAATACAATAAGGAGACAAAAATTCCATAAGGATATAAGATATTCAAACATGATCCATAGACATATGGAGCACTGTGTCTGACATACATACCTGTCGAGTGCATGTAGAACATTTATGAAAGCCAACCTATGTTAAGCCTAACACGAGTTTCATGAATTTCAAAGATTAAATTAATATGGGGTATATTCTCTGGCCACAATGTAATTGGCCTAGAAATCTATAACAAAATATAACCACAAAATGCCTGCATGTTTGGAAATTTTTAAATATACTTCTAAATAACTCATGAGCAAAAGATAAAATTACAGCAGAAATTAGGAAAATACTTTGCACTAAATAACAATAAGAATATTCTATACGTAAAACTTGTAAGATTAAGTGCCTGATTAGAGGACATTTATAGTCTTAGCTGCACATAATGGCATAGAAAATTGTCTAGCTTGACTGAGATTATAATCATTGATGCCATGCAAAAATGTGTTACCCCAAATTTTTCTAACATGTCCCTATTTCAGGGTTGGTTTTTCTCCATCAATCCCACTCTACTGAATTCTGCATCTGGGAAGTAAGCATGTGAGACAACTGCGCCATCTGCAATTCACTGTGAAAATTAGGAAAATAATCTACTTTAATTTCTCGATTAAGTTGAGGCAGAACAGTAAATAACTATTTAAAGAGTAGAGGACCTTCCTTTCACCAAGATGGAGGCGTAGGTGGAAGCACTGTGCCTTCTCGCACAATCAAGTTTAAAAACAATAAAGTTTTAGCAACAAAAATGCAGCCAAACCACAGAAAATTGAACTACACAGAAGTCTGACAATAATGAACCCTTCAGCTAAACTGGTAAGAGGGGTATAGCCAGCAGCAGAGCGGGGTCGGGCAGGAAAGATCCACCAGACCAACCTGGGTGTGTGACCCAGGCACACCAGCAGCTGTGGGCGGATCCCAGGTGTGGAGTAGCGGGCGGAACCACTGAGGGCTGACCACGGTCACACATTTGTGCGCAGATAAACTGGTGAAGGAGCGAGCAGTGAGACAGACCGTGCAAGCCCCAGCAGCGGGAAGCGGCAGAGGGGACTGCTATTGTCCCTCTCTGACCCCACCCCCACATACAGCATCAAAACCAGTGACCTGGGTGGCCCTACCCTGGTGAACACCTAAGGCTCTGCTCCTCATACATAACAGGGTAACAGGCATAAACAGATCAAAATATGGCTCAAAAACAACTCAGAGCCCCAGAGCCAATAAATCTAAGCGATGAAGAAATAGCCAAACTTTCAGATGCACAGTTCAAAACACTGGTGATCAGGATGCTCACAGAACTGGTTGATTTTAGTCACATATTAGAGGAACATATGAAGGCCAAACTAATTGAAATGAATGGAAATGCACAGGAAACCAATAGTAATGGAAAGGAAACTGGGACTCAAATCAAAGGAGTGGACCAGAAGAAGGATAAAAATGACCAACCAGAAAAGAATGAAGAAACAAGAATTCAAAAAAATGAGGAGAGACTTAGGAACTTCCAGGACATCTTTAAATGCTCCAACATCCGAATTATAGGGGTACCAGAAGGGGGAAAGGAACAGCCACCAGTGGAAAACTTATTTGAACAAATAATAAAGGAGAATTTCCCCAATCTGGCAAAGGAAATAGACTTCCAGGAAATCAAGGAAGCTCAGAGAGTCCCAAAGAAGTTGGACCCAAGAAGGAACACACCAAGGCACATCATCATTATATTAGTCAAGATTAAAATGAAGGAGAGAATCCTAGAAGCAGCAAGACATAAGGGGACAGTCACCTACAAAGGAGTCCCCATCAGGCTGTCAGCTGATTTCTCAAAAGAGACCTTACAGGCAAGAAGGGGCTGGAAAGAGGTATTCCAAGTCATGAAATCCAAAGACCTCCATCCACGATTGCTCTATCCAGCAAAGCTTTCATTTAGAATGGAAGGACAGATAAAGTGCTTCTCAGATAAAATCAAATTCAAGAAGTTCATCATCACCGAGCCCTTATTATATGAAATGTTAAAGGGGCTTATCTAAGAAAAAGAAGATAAAAAAGATGAACAGTGAAAGGACAGCAAACTCACAGTTATTAAGAACCACACCTAAAACAAAAGCAAACTAAGAGGACAGACAGCTAGATCAGGAGCAGAAACATAGAAACGAAGATCATATGGAGGGTTAGCAACAGGGGAGTGGGAGGAGGAGAAGGGGAGAGAAGGTA